GGTCACAGCGCGCGGCGCGCACGGGAAATTAAGTGCGAGAGAGAGGGAGGGCGGGAGAGGGGGAGAGAGGCAGGCACAGCTACGGCCACTGCACAGAGAATACTAAGAGGCGGAGAGACCGCGCACGCGGCACACACGCAGCACACACGCAGCACACGCAGCACACGCAGCACACACGCGGCACACACGCAGCACACACGTGGCACACACGCGGCACACACGCGGCACACACGCAGCACACACAGGACACACGCAGCACACACGCGGCACACACGCGGCACACACGCGGCACACACGCAGCACACACGCGGCACACACGCGGCACACACGCGGCACACACGCAGCACACACGTGGCACACACGCGGCACACACGCGGCACACACGCAGCACACGCAGGACACGCAGCACACGCAGGACACACGCAGCACACACGCAGCACACGTAGGACACACAGCACACGTAGGACACACACAGCACACGCAGCACACACACAGCACACGCACAGCACACACACAGCACACGTAGGACACACACAGCACACACAGCACACACAGCACACACACAGCACACACACAGCACACGTAGGACACACAGCACACACAGCACACACACAGCACACGCAGGACACACAGCACACACAGCACACACAGCACACACACAGCACACGTAGGACACACAGCACACACAGCACACACAGCACACACACAGCACACACACAGCACACGCAGGACACACAGCACACACAGCACACACACAGCACACGTAGGACACACAGCACACACAGCACACACAGCACACACACAGCACACACACAGCACACGCAGGACACACAGCACACACAGCACACACACAGCACACACACAGCACACGCAGGACACACAGCACACACAGCACACACAGCACACACACAGCACACGCAGCACACACGCAGCACACACGCAGCACACACAGCACACGTAGCACACACGCAGCACACGCAGCACACACGCAGCACACGCAGCACGCACGCAACACGCACGCAGCACACGCGGCACACACGCGGCACACACGCGGCACACACGCGGGACGCACGCAGCACACACGCAGGACGCACGCGGGACGCACGCGGGACGCACACACGCGGCACACACGCGGGACACACGCGGGACGCACGCAGCACACACGCAGGACACACGCGGCACACACGCGGGACGCACGCGGCACACACGCGGCACACACGCAGGACACACGCGGCACACACGCGGCACACACGCGGGACACACGCGGCACACGCAGGACACACGCAGCACACACGCGGCACACACGCAGGACACACACAGCACACACGCAGCACACCCACGGTACGCACGCGGCACGCACGCAGGACACACGGTACGCACACAGCACACACACAACACACGCAGCACACACGTGGCACACACGGTACGCACGCAGCACACACGCAGCACACGCAGCACACACGCAGCACACCGCGCATGCAGCAAACACGCAGCACACCCACGGCACGCACGCGGCCAAGCAATGGCGCTGCTGCATGGATTCACAACAACACCGACAATAACCACTCTGTTAGTCCAGTTCAGAGCACAAGACAAAGAAAAAAGATCTCCTGTACAGCCTAAACAGAGTTTTGGGGCAAGTGTCATTAGCGAGCACCAATTGAGGGGGTGGGTAGCCAGTCTTTGTCTCCCCAGTGGCGACGTTTACACACCACACCAGGTACTCATTTGAGGCCGAGTCGACCTAGGCGAGGCCCAGAACTGGTTAAAATAATCGTCACCGGTGTTGGTGGCCATGAACTCGACTAATAGCGCGGATCACCCCGACACACACACACACACAAGACAAAGACCACCCGTATAGCCCAAACAGACTTTCGGCGCAAGTGCTGTTAGCGAGCACACGCAGACAGAGACACTCTCGCGCAAGCGTGCGCATTAAACCGCCAACGTTGCCCGCACGGACTCGGCCAGACAGTCGGGAGCGGCAGGCAGGACCTATCACGCACAGACCCAATCAGGAGCCCTCGAATCAATTATCTCGGACGGGGGAGCGTGGCGACGGCGGCGCGAGAGAGAGAGAGAGAGCCACGCTGCTGCCCCTAATCTCCAGCCTCATTACCCGCTCATCTGCAAGTCAGAAGAGAAGCCCCCTGCTTTGCATGTTAATGACCCCCCCCCTCGTCCCTCCACCCTCCTCCCCCACCCCCCCTTCGATCCCCGACGCCTTCTTCCCTCGCCTTGCCTCTAATCAGCATCGAGGCAGGATCGAGGCACGCCGGGCTCCGAGTGTTCAATTATGCGCAGGCAGTTCTTGAAAACCAAGGCCTCCTTTCTTGTGTTGTTTTTGTGCGTGTGTTGAATGCGCCCGGGAAAGTAAGTTCAGTGGGCGACGCGCGCCGTGCCCTTGCTCTCCTCCGCGTGTGCGTGCGTGTGCGTGCTTGTTCGTGTGTGCGTGCGTGTGCGTGCGTGTGCGTGCGTGTGCGTGCGTGTGCGTGCATCTCGCCAAGGAGCATAAACCACCTGGCGAGCTCCGGTCATCCTCGCAGCAGCAGCAGCAGCGGCTTTTGGCTGGCCGTCGGACAAAGACGGTGGTGGTCACGCGCTTCTGCGGCCGTCTGGAACGCACCTTCCTCCAGATATTAGGAAGATACTGGAGATATCCACTTTGAAATCATCTCGATTAAAAACTGATTTATTTAGAACTGCTTTTTGTATGTTAGTTTGTTGTCCTACCCTCGCACCTCCGATTAGCGCGTTGGCTACGTACGGTGCGAAAGAAGTTCAATATCGTACATACCGTGCGTGTGTACGAGCGTGCGTGCGTGGGTTTTTCTATAAGTGCCTCTATGAGACTGTGCGTGTCAGCACACACACGCCTGTAAATGGGCGTGTGTGGGCATGCACCTGTGAACACATGAAATCTGTGCGTGTTTCTACATGGGTCTGTGTATGTGTGCATGTGTGTATGTATGTGTGGAGCGGTAGTGTAGTGGTTAGCGCGCTGCGCTACGAACCTGGCGACCCGGGTTCGATTGCCGCTCACGGCCAACACCAGTGACGATTATCTGAACAGGTCCTGGGCCTCCCCTAGGTCGACTCAGCCTCAAATGAGTACCTGGTGCGATGTGTAAACATCGCCACTGGGGAGACAAAGGCGGCCGGGCGTGGTGTTGGCCACCCACCCCCTCGTGTGCCGTGCCGGCCTTCATAGGTGCTTGCTAACAGCACTTGCCCCTACAGTCTGTTACAGGCTATAAGGGGGATCTTTTTTTACATATGTGTGCATGTGTGTATGTAGGTGTGTGCGGAGCGGTGGCGCAGCGGTTTGCGTGCCGCGCTACGAACCCGGCGACCCGAGTTCGATTGCCGCTCACGGCCAACGCCACCAGTGACGATTAACCGAACCTGGGCCTCCCCTAGGTCGACTCAGCCTCAAATCTGGTGTAGAAACATTAGCATTGGGGAGACAAAGACGGCCGGGTATGGTGTGTGTCCGTGTCGGCCTTGACAGGTGCAACTCGCTAACAGCACTTGCCCCAACAGTCTGTAAAGTCTACATGGGGGACCTTTGTCTTTGTGCCCATGCGTCACCACACACAGCGGGAGGCTCTCGTGTTGCTCAAACACTCTGGCATAGCCCCCCCCCTCCAGCCCCCCCCCCTCCAGCCCCCCCAACCCTCCCCCAGCCCCCCCCCCCAACCCCAAACCCCCCACCCCAAATTGAGCCACACGCGGCTGCCCATGATCCGGCACGGTGCAGGCAGCAGCGAGGGTCACACGCAATCTGGATTTGAAGTTTTCCTGACTGCATGAATCCATACTCTTTGGTTCTTTCGGTAAAGTCACGTGGGTAGAAAATAAAATAAATTAACTCACGACGTTTCGGGCGCAACACACAAGCGCCCGTCATCAGGTGGGAGGACAACCACGGCAAGAAACAATTGCTGAAGTGGGCAAACACAGGGTAGGTCCCTGAGAGAAACGCAACTTTGTACCAAAATCGTGCCTCCCCCCAACCCATTACACACACACACACACCCCGGCTCGCCAGGAGGAGGAGGTGCAGCAACGATGCGGACCGATATCACCTCTCCCTTCTGCGTGGGATACAGCGCTGCCATCTGCCACCTGCCACTATATGAATCTATTCAAGATAAGGAATGGCTCAAGAGGCCCAAAATTACGTCAAGCGGCCAGCAACGAACAGGAAGGGTTTGTTTGGGGGAAAACAGACGGTGATGGCGACGATGATGATGATGATGGGAGGAGGGGATTCCGGAGTGGAGCAGGGCGAGGGAAGAAGCAGAGAGAGATAAGCTGAGGTGACCTGCAGTGTGGCGAGTGAGTAGGTGGGTGAGTCGGTGACCGAGATGGCGAGCGAGTGGGTGAGTGAGTTCGTGAGTGAGTAGGTGTGTTGCTGTGACCTGCAGTGTGGTGAGTTGGTGAGCGAGTGGGTGAGCGAATTGGTGAGCGAGTGGGTGAGTGGGTTAGTGAGTGGGTGGGTGTGTTGCTGTGACCTGCAGTGTGGTGAGTAAGTGAGTGGGTGAGCGAGTTGGTGAGTGGGTGAGCGAGTTGGTGAGTGGGCGAGCGAGTGGGTGAGTGGGTTAGTGATTGGGTGGGTGTGTTGCTGTGACCTGCAGTGTACTGAGTGAGCGAGTGGGTGAGCGAGTTGGTGAGTGGGCGAGCGAGTGGGTGAGTGGGTTAGTGAGTGAGTGGGTGTGTTGTTGTGACCTGCAGTGTGGTGAGCGAGCGAGTGGGTGAGAGAGTTGGTGAGTTGGCGGGTGAGTGGGTTAGTGAGTGGGTGGGTGTGTTGCTGTGACCTGCAGTGTGCTGAGTGAGCGAGTGGGTGAGCGAGTGGGTGAGCGAGCGGGTGAGCGAGTGGGTTCGTGAGTGAGTGGGTGTGTGTGCAGTGACCTGCAGTGTGGTGAGCGAGCGAGTGGGTGAGCGAGTTGGTGAGTGGGTGAGCGGCACATGTGCGCGTGTTAGCATGTGCTCACCTGTGGAGTTGGGCCCCATGTGCCCTGGGACGGAGTAGGGTGGGCCCCCTTGATTCATCATGGTCGGGCCGCCCCCGCTCAGCTGCTGCTGCTGCTGCCCGTAAGGAGAGCCTCCGCCCATCATTCCTCCCGCCTGGTTCATGCCCTGGTAGCCGCTTTGCCTGCAACCAGGGGTAAAGGCACAGATCCCCCGTATAACCTTAACAGACTGTTGGGGCAAGTGCTGCACCTATGAAGGCCGGCACGGCACACGAGGGGGTGGGTGGGCGGCCGGCACCACGCCCGACCGCCTTTGTCTCTGGACGATGTTTACACACCGCACCAGGTACTCGTTTGAGGCCGAGTCGACCTAGGGGAGGAGTCCCAGGATCAATTCATCGAGCTCGGGTCGCCGGGTTCCTAGCGCAGCGTGCTAGCCGCTGCACTCCCCCTCTCCACAGACACACAGACACCCACTGCCCCTTGGCATCTCACATCCCCACTGATAATTCAATTAATTATCGCAATTTATAATAACTAGCAACCCACACGTCATTTTGCCGTGACAGTCTGTCCCTCCCAGCCAGCCAGCCAGCAAAACTTTTAATCTGATACCGAGCCCTGTCTCTCTCCACCTTACCCGTGCCTTCTCTGTACGTAACATCGCAATTCATCACGATTTCTTACTCTGTCTGTGTCTCTCTATTCCTCTACTTCCTCCCTCTTCATTCCTTTCCTCCCTCCACTGCATCTCACCCACTTCCCCCCCACCCCCCGAACTCTCTCCGTTTCTCTCTCTCCTCTCACCCTCCTCTCCCATCTCAAGTCTCTCTTGCCTCTCCCTAACCCCTCTCTCACACTGCTCGTCGATTTCCCCTCGCTCCCCTCTTTCTGGTTTGCTCCTTTGCCCTGTCACTCTCTCTCCACCCCTCTCCCCTTACACTGTTTTCCGTATTTTCCTCCCGTCTCTACCTCCCTCGCCTCCCTCCTTTGTTCTAATATAGCATGGTGCTATGATCGTGAAAGCACGACGTCATATGACAACATGATAAAGAGTCTCCCGATCATTTGCGTGGGATACACATCCCACACTCGGCTGTGCTCCAGCCACAGCCAGGCAGACAGGAATCCAGGCATGACGCTTTTGTTCTTTCTAATATACAGCAACAAGGCTATCACGAAGGCATTGTGGTTCACGGACACGGTGTGCGGTACTGTCACAGTAAGGGGGGGGGGGGGTGGGTGATGTTGATTACGTGGTCTAGGCCAAGTGCACCCCCAGCAGCAGCTGTACCTATGCATTAGTCTGCCAGTCGGGGGGCGAAGTTGATCTGTGGAGTTCCAATCGAGTAGTTTGCGGTGTGGGTTTTTCAACTCCATCAAATAGGGACCCGTGACGTCGGCACACAGTGGGCGGCTTCGTTTCTAATGACCTCACGAGATCTACAACGTACACTCGTGAAGCAGACGGGGCATATGGATGGGGGTGCCGCCGTGGTAAGATGTCAACTGCCTCGCCTGGTATACAGGAGGTCGTGGGTTCGATCCCGACCCTGACGCCTGCTGTATGTTTGGAGTTTGTGTCTCTCTCTCATCATCATCATCATCACGGTGGCTAGGAGATGTTAACTACCTCGCCTGACGCCTGCTGCTGTATATTTGGAGTTTGTGTGTCTCTTTCTCTCATCATCATCACAGTGGCTATGAGATGTTAACTACCTCGCCTGGTATACAGGAGGTCGTGGGTTCGATCCCGACCCTGACGCCTGCTGTATGTTTGGAGTTTGTGTCTCTCTCTCATCATCATCATCATCACGGTGGCTAGGAGATGTTAACTACCTCGCCTGACGCCTGCTGCTGTATATTTGGAGTTTGTGTGTCTCTTTCTCTCATCATCATCACAGTGGCTATGAGATGTTAACTACCTCGCCTGGTATACAGGAGGTCGTGGGTTCGATCCCGACCCTGACGCCTGCTGCTGTATATTTGGAGTTTGCGTGTCTCTCTCCCTGTTGTCACGCGGATTTCTCTCTGGGTCCTCCGGTTTTTCCCTCCACATTTAGAATCAGTCTGCGTTGAGAGCATTTGGCCGTGATACCGTTCCCACACGGCGACGAGCCACTTTGTTGACCTGTCATTTGTGGCCAGGTCGCCTCAGCGGGCCTTACCTGGTAAAGTACATACTTTGTTTATAGTTCATAAGAGTTTGTTTTTGGGTTAGATCGCGTAAATATAAATGTGTTGTTAAATCCACCACCACCCACACAGCCAATTAGTAAGGTTTGTCGTGTAAACAGAACATGCCAATTAGTTACTAATTTAGTGCTCCGGTGTGTTGGAGAGTAAACCCACAGCATTTACAACTCGAGCAGCGCGACGTTTCGCCAGTAATTACAACCAGCACCATCAGGCGACAGCCAGATTTTTGGAGAAATCTTCCTTATTAAATCCTTTATATTAAGTTCACTTGCTTGCTTGCGCGCTTATGACCGTGCAAATCTTTTGGTCGTTTTTTACCCCACTTCCCGTGATCCAATCGAGCTGACATTTTCCACACAGACTCGTTGTGCGTGACAATTTATTTTCGTGAAATTTTTTTTCCAAAATTTTACACTTTTTAGGAAAAATCAATAATATTTAATTACCAATTGCTTAATGGTGCCAGGCAATCATCTGACCCATAGGTGGCAGCCATCTCAAGCCAGAGGACGAGAGGACTCTAGCCGCCACGCATATAAAGGATTTATAGTGAAAAACTTTGTTATTACGGGTTAATTTTTTTGCTCTTAGATCGAGGGATGATAAATGTGACCTCGTCGCTTGTGAGTCAATCAGGTGCGAAGGCCAGAGGAGGGATTTTCTCCACAACTCTGGCCGTCGCCTGACAGCCACATTTTGACGGAAAGCTTTCGCGACTGCAGGGAATTCAAACTCTTTGGGTCTGTCGGTAAAGTCACGTAGATAGAAAAATAATAAAATAATAAAAAATCACGACTTTTCGATCGCAACACAAGCAATCGTCTTGGGGTGAAAAATTCAGCAGGCGGACTGCTGAGGCAGGAAGAAAAATAGCTGCTGTATTTTTTTCACCTGAAGGCGATTGCTTGTGTTGCGATCGAAACATCGTCATTTTTTTTATTTGATTATTTCTCTATCTACGCGACTTTACCGTAAGACCCGAAGAGTAGTCGCATAGGTACAACGGTTACCACACAACGCCGTAAGAACCAGGGCGGCTCGCCCCGATTCTAACCGCGAGCCTGCCGAGAGAAATAGCGAGAGGGTGACCCAGACCCCGGGTTCAACACGCAGGGTGGCCCTCAGCGGCGTGGGCTTGGCGTCCCTGATACGGCCATTATGAGCCCCCCCCTCCCCACAACTGGCGGATCCACCCGGGCCACGTCACACTGCAGTAGGGGGGGGGAGGGGGGGGCGGTGAAAAAAAAACACTCCACAACGCAAATGATTAAATAACAATTACTCAAATAAGCTCCAAACACGTGGCCCGGTGCACGAGGCTTTCTTTGATTGCAGCGCTCGGCCCGCGGCCCCCCTCACCCCCCTCACCCCCCCTCACCCCTCACCCCGTGGCCCCCCTCACCCTGTGGCCCCCCTCACCGCCCCCTCACCCCTCACCCCACGGCCCCCTCGCTGCATTATTCAGGAGCCCTGGCCCGGGCCCAAACATTTGTTCTTGCGCCGCTGCCACTTAGCGGCACGATCGCCGGGGCTCCCCCCCACCCCCCCACCTTTTCCCACCTCCGCAGCATCGCGTCTCTCCGAGTTGATCGCACAGGGAGGGGGGGGGGGGGCGTAGGAATAACACCACCAATGTGGAGAGGGGTGGGTGAGACAGAGAACGGGGGGGGGGAGGGGGGAGGAGCAGGGGGAGAGGGAGCGGGGGGGGGGGAGAGGGAGCGGGGGGGGGGAACAGGGGGAGAGGGAGTGGGGGGGGGGAGCAGGGGGAGAGGGAGTGGGGGGGGGAGAGGGAGCGGGGGGAGCAGGGGGAGAGGGAGTGGGGGGGAGGGAGCAGGGGGGGAGGAGCGGGGGGGGAGAGGGAGCGGGGGGGGGGAACAGGGGGAGAGGGAGTGGGGGGGGGAGCAGGGGAGAGGGAGTGGGGGGAGAGAGGGAGCGGGGGGGGGGGGAGCAGGGGGAGAGGGAGTGGGGGGGAGGGAGCAGGGGGGAGGAGCGGGGGGGGAGAGGGAGCGGGGGGGGAGAGGGAGCGGGGGGGGGAGAGGGAGCGGGGGGGAGGAGAGGGAGCGGGGGGGGGGAGCGGGGGGTGGGGGGAGCCGTGGGTTGTATTTGGACAGAACGGAGCTGCCGAGTGGCGAGCGGCCTCCTCCCTGTGATGAAGCATTCCGTTTGTAGGGCGCCAGCGACACGCGCGTCGAGCGGGGACGAAGAGCGGAGGAGGAGGAGAGGGAGAATCCTTTCTTTGAGGCGGCTCACACACGCTGGCGCTAAACAGTGGGCTACCTTCCGTCTCTAATCGACCAATTAAGCAGTGAACCAAATACGCGCGCACAGACACGCGTGTGTGCGTGTGTGCACAACAAAGACAAACAAAGATCGCCCGTATAATCTTAACAGATTTTTGGGACCGGCACGGCACACGAGGGGGTAGGTGGGCCAGTACCACGTCCGTCCGCCTTTGTCTCCCCAGTGGCGATGTTTACACACCGCACCAGGTACTCATTTGAGGCCGAGTCAACCTCGGGGAGTCCCAGGACCGGTTCGGATAATCGTCACTGGTGTTGGCCGTGAGCGGGAATCGAATTCGGGTCGCCGGGTTCGGAGCGCAGCGTGCTGACCGGTGCACCACCGCCACACACACTCTCACACACTCTCACACACTCTCACACACTCTCACACACTCTCACACACTCTCACTCACACTCTCACACACACTCTCACTCACACTCTCACACTCACCCACACTCTCACACTCACCCACACTCTCACACACACTCTCACACACACTCTCACTCACACTCTCACACACACTCTCACACTCACCCACACTCTCACACACACTCTCACACTCTCTCTCACACACTCTCACACTCTCTCTCACACTCTTTCACACTCTCTCTCGCACACTCACGCACACTCTCACACACACTCTCACACTCTCGCACTCTCTCACACTCTCTTACACTCTCACACTTTCTCACACACTATCGCACACTCTCGCACACACTCACGCACACACTCACACTCTCACACGCCACTCAGCCAAGTTAACCACACAACGGTGTTAACATCGACGGCGGGATCGAGTGCAACTGCAAGCGGCTCCGTAGCGGTGACGCGTCCAACGCTCCTCCTGCTGCCGAACGTCGAGCCGACTCTATGTGACGGCCGGTGCGAGCGGAGTCAAGACCGGCCCTCCGGCAGTGTCAGGCTAGGTGCACTTTCCGGCTGCCGCCCTCCATATGCGACGAGAGGCAGGGAAGCGACGCTCACAACAACCGGCGGGAGGGCTGCCACCCTGGCACAACGGTCGGTCCTGGTGCGGCAGTTGAAACGATGCGCCGAGTTTCTTAAATCTCCACCCACCCCGCCTCCCCCCACCACCAATGTTCATCCACCCAGCGGTGTAAATAGGTTCACCAGACAGTTGATCGGCAGGTGCAGCGTGGTGCATGTATGTGTGTTGAACTTCTTTCGCACAGTACGTAGCCAAGCGTGCTAACCGGAGGTGGGGTCAGGTGTGGGCACACCCACTTCCTCCAATACGTCGGGCTAAAGTGGAAGAGCAGGCCAAATACCACGCGAGAAACTCCGCTCCCTCACTCCACCGCTCGCTCCTCCTACGGACGGCGTGGCTAGCAAGCGACTGCAAGTCGCCGCCTTTCACCGTTGCGACCGAGAGATGAGGACGCAGGAACCACGTGGCGGTGGCCCCAGGACTTACACGTCCGCCGTGCGTGCCCAGTCAGCGCGCGTTCACGACTCGCGTTACGCCGGCCACCGGGATTGGTTACCGGCGCATGCCCATATGTTAGCGTGCGTGCGTACACGTGTGCGCGTTGCCCCCCCCCCCCGCCCCCCAGATCGGTGAGCCGAGCCGCGTACCCGTACTGCTCGTGCTGGTGCAGCATGGCGGCCTGCGCCTGGGCGTTGCCGTAGTTGGGGTGTTGTGGCGGGTACATGGGCCGCACGGTGGGGCCGGGCTGGGCCGGGTAGCTCTGCGGCTGAGGGCGGCTGTACTGCGCCCTGCGCGTCACACGGGAGCGGGGCGCCGGCGGTCAGCGCGCACAAGCACGCAGATACACGCACCCACGCACGCAGACGCATGTACACGCACACCCACAGACATGCACACCCACGAACACGCACGCACAAGCCACAACAACAACAGCAGAAGCCGGCATTGGCCACTAAGTGGCTGTGACGTCACCACGGCGCTTGCGCCAGGCCAGATGCACTTTGAGGCCGTCGCTTAAAGTGCGAAAGACTCGCTGCTGGCAGGAGGACATGGGACAAATCCACAGGTATCATCCGTGAACTGAGATTATTGGCAGATACACCGAAGACAAAGATCCCCCGTATAGCCTTAACACACTGTAGGAGGAAATTACGTTAGCGAGCATCTATGAAGGCCGGAACGGCACACGAGGTGGTGGATGGCCAACACCGTGCCCGGCCGCCTTTGTCTCCCCAATGGCGATGTTTACACACTCATTTGAGGCCGAGTCGACCTACGCGACGCCCAGAACCGGTCCAGATAATCGTCACCGGTGTTGGCCGTGAGCGGGAATTGAATTCGGGTGGCGGGGTTTGTAGCGCAGCGTCCTCCACAGAGCACACACAGACAGACATCCACGCAGGCTTCACCAAGCCTCAGGACACGCATCACGGGCAGGGCCCAGCAGCTGGCCCCCGCCCCCCCCCCACCCCCCCCGCCCCCCCCACCCCCCCCGCCCCCCCACCCCCCCCCCCGCCCCCCCCACCCCCCCCCGCCCCCCCGCCCCCCTGTCCCCGCTACCTGGTATGCGTCGAGTTGGCCGCCGCCTGCATGACCGCTGCGGCCGCCTCCTGCGCCTTGCGGTTGATGCCGGACGAGGGAGGCCCCATCCCGACGCTGCCCTGACCCAGAGCGATGCCCCCGGCGGCCATGGGCAGGCCGCCCGCCTGGCCCACGACCCCGGGGCCTTGACCTGGGCCCGGCGTCCCCGCCCCTCCTCCTCCGCCCCCCCCCATGCTGTTGCTGCCCAGGCCGTGGCCGCTGCCGCCGCCGCCGCCCATGGCGCTGTTCGGCACCATGGAGGAGAGGCCGGCGTGCCCGGGCACGCTGTTGGCGGGGCCGCCCATGGCCTGGTTGTAGGGCCGGCCCTGCAGGCCCGAGGGCGGGCCCCGGCCCATGGCTCCCATGCCGCCGTAGGCCTGGGCGGGCCCCGAGGCCTGCATGCTGCTGTTGCCGGCCATGCCCATGGCGGGGCCCGTGCCGGCGTAGGCCGCCGCGTTGGGCATGTTGCCGTAGCCGGACGGGCGCTGGTAGTTTCCTGCGGGAGCGGAGAGAGCGACAGACGACGCCAAGGTCGGCGGACGAGGTCGGCGACGAGGTGCGGGGAGGAAACGGGCCCCTGCGTGGCGCTCACGCCAGAGGCAACTTCGCAAGGCGAGGCCTTCGAGCGCCGGGTTTGTTGTTTTGTTTAGTTTCAGGCAACAGTTTTGATCAACTAAGCCGGCTATCTCTCAGCTAAGTTTGAGTGGCAACTCAAGAGTTTCACGGAGTTACCGTGCTCTCCCCCCCCACCCCATAACAGACAGATGGGCAGACAGAAAGAAAAGATCCCCCTTTAGCCTTTAACAGCCAGTTCAGAGAAAGCCCTGCTAGCGAGCACCTATTAAGGCCGGCACGGCACACGAGGGAGTGGTTGTGGCGAGCACCGCTCTCGGCCGACTCTGTATCCCCACTGCTGATGTTTACACACTGCAGTAGGTACTCATTTAAGGCCGAGTCGACCTAGGGGAGGCCCAGGTCCGGTTCGGATAATCGTTACCGGCGTTGGCCGCAAGCAGGAATCGAACTCGGCTCGCTGGACTGCGTGAGCGCGAGCACCCTGGGCGCCGCGCGGCGTCTCGGCCACCGAAACCCCCATCGGATTTACCGCCGCGTGCCGCCGAGGCCTGTGCCAGTGCCGGAAAAACATGCCCCCCCTCCATCCCGCCCCCCAGCCCCGTTGCGTCAGCCCCACCTTGCTGCGGTCCGTACAAGCCTCCCCCTGGCTGGGGAGGGTACCCCCCCGGGCCCCCGGAGGGCGGGTAAGGCCCCAGGGCGGCCGCGTGCATCTGGGGCCCGGCCGGGGAGGGCCGGGGCGAGAGGGCCGATGGGCCTCCCTGCTGGGGCCCGAACTGAGAGTTGCGCTGCACGAAGCCTGTGTCAGGCA